TTTTAAATAATGATTTAAAAAATAATAATTAGTAGATGTGAAAAACATTACCATTGAAATCTACCTGATGACTTTATATCCATGCTCAGATGCCAAGGAGCTCAGAAAGTAACTGACTATCACTAGTAACAATCAGATATATAGAGATTAGAAATGCCTGTGCAAACATCTTAATGTCAATTGCATTGAAAATGAATTTTTCTGTATGAAACTGTATTTTAATAATGAAATGGAGATCTTTTTTAAAGGTTAAAACCTCATTTAACTTTATGTCTTATAAGGTTTATACTGAGTATAATATTGTATAACTAATAATTCAGCCGTAAACCTAAAAAATATATGTTTAAAAAATTAAAATCTAGGCTCGGCATGATGGTATACACCTTCAATCCCAACAGTTGGGAGGCAGAGGCAGGTGGATCTCTGTGAGTTCAAAGCCAGCCTGGTCTAGAATGGGTGAGTTCCATGCCAGCTGGAGCTACAGGAAGACCCTGTTTCAAAAAAAAGACCAAAAAAATAAAATTAAGATCTATACTGAGAAAAATTACAGAAGCAGAAGCTGGGGCTAATATTGGTATATCATCAGTCACTCCTTGCAACAAAATTATTTGTTACAGCCCCAGCCATCATTTTACTTTTTATTTTTAGACAGTGTCTCACTATATTGCCTAGGCTGGGTGTGAACTCACTAATTCTACAGCTCCAGGAAGCCTTAAACTTCCTGACTCAGCCTCCCACCTGGCTGGGATTACAGGTGTGTTCTACCAAGACCATTTAGAAGATTCTATCCATTCAAAGAAGCCTATGGAACCAGAGTGACAGCCATGATGTTTACAGAGAGTACTACATTATACAGAGTGTCCACCTGGTGACACCCTCCAAACAACTTTGCTAGAGACCTTGCTTATTGCTTATGCATCACACCATTCTAGAAAGATACACAAGATGATGGAGCATAAGCTTGTATCAGAGCCAGTGAAGGAGAACCCCTTCTCCTCGATGGGTGAGATGGCTCAAGAATGGAAAGGATTAGAAAAGGAGAAAGGACTTTCTTCTAAAGCCTTTGGGTAGAAGCCATGCCATTCCAGCCAGCTTTCACCCCATGGTCTTGTGGCACATACTACCAAAAACACACAATGGTGGAATGAGGGACTTCCACATCTTCTAATGAAACATGGGGCAACTGCGTACTGACCCTGGAATATACTCACATCAGCGCTGAAGGAAGGCCCTGACAGATAAAGGATGGAGGCTGAGCGTGTTGACAGGAGCGTGTTGACAGAACGGAGCAGTGATCAGGGTACTGGTGAGGTTCTGAATGAGAAAGACTGACTTGGGCCTTCCTGTTTTATTTCATGGGCTTTCCTGTCTTATTTCAGGCATTATTCATGGGTTTGTGTTGTAACATGTCTGAGATAAACCAATGTGGTCCTGGGAGAAAGCTTTCTGCCAAGTCTCTGGTATTATATGTGAAAACACGGGTATCATTCAGAGGTCTGCTTGATGGATGAAAGCCACGCACTTCTTCCAAAAGAGGGGACTAAGAACACATATTTTTAAAAATATTTTAGGTGTAGGAATGTATTGCCTGCATGCATGTATGAAAGTGCTCTGGTGTCGTGTAATGCTTGTGGAGGTCAGAAGAGAGTGTTGGATCTCCTGGAACTGGAGTTATGGATAGTTGTTAGCTGCCATGTGGGTGCTGGGAATTGAACCCGGGTCTTCTGCAAGAGCAGTCAGTGCTCTTAACTGCTGAGCCATCTCTCCAGCCCCCAAGAGCACCTATTTTTAAACGCTGAACTGAGAGTGCAATTATGCATGAAGGGCATCCTACAAATTTTTCCACACCCATCAGGTCTCTGTGAGATGTCAGCACGCTTTCTTCTCCCTCACCACATACCATCTTTTTCTACCTTTCAATTTCTATATCTAAAGTTTAATAGATTATAATTTTTCTGGCAGAAATGAGTCATCAGACTGCAACTATCATCAACCAATTCTGTGTGTGCATGTCATTGGGCACACCCTACAGGTTTATATCTGCTCATATCATATCAAAGTCTGTATCTTTATGGCTGTATTTACAATTTTTTTTAACTTTTTATGTTTTATTATTTTTATTTTATGTGTATGAATGTATTGCCTATATGTATGTGAGTGCACCCATGTCGTACAATGCCATGGAGGTCAGAAGAGGGCTTCAGATTCCCCTGGAACTGGAGTTAAAGATGGTTCATAGCCGCCATGTGGGTGTTGGGAATCGAACCTGGGTCCTCTGCAAGAGCAGTCAGTGCTCTTAACCACTGAGCCATCTCTCCAGCCCCTGTATTTACAAATTTTATAGGAATATTGTTATTCAAACAAATAATCAAGAGAATGCTTCCACAGATCTGTAACCATATCCTTGTTTCTTTTGAAGTGAAATAGCAAAAACAGAGTCCCTCCTCAAGGAGTACATGAAATATGGACTTTTTCTGCTGAAATTGTCTCCAAAGCATTGGCAAATGCAACAATCACAGAGACGAGTCCAGGCAGCCAAAAGCAATCCTGTTCTTCCAAGATTCTTAGAAAGTAAGTCTCATATCTTACAAATCTTAGCGGCAATGAAGCAAAACTCCCTGATTCTAAAATATTCTGCTTCAGCATTTGTTGTTTATGTCAATAGTCAGAGATTTAAAAACAAAACTTGAACAAGGATTCCCACTACATTATCATAGATGATTAATTTAGAAACTCAGGCTAGTTTCAAATATAAAGCAAGAAAAAATTACATGGAAAAGTAGAAAATTCATTATTTATAAGCGATATGATGGTATTTCAAAAACTAATATTATTAAAAGTTGCTGTAATAAGGTCAATGATACAAAGGCAATTATAATTTAGTACCTCAATGAACTAACCTAAGTAAATTTATTAACTGGAAACCATAGAGATATATTAAAGCCAGGAAAACAGTCTTAATGTGTATGACTTAGAGGTTTGACAAATAGAAAAATATGTCATGTTTTCAAATAGAAGGATTGATACTGTAAAGCGATCCATTTTCCTGAAATAAATGTGTATGTTATGGAATTATAATAAAAATATATAATAAAAATACCACCACAAAATTTTAGGAAGTTGGACACTGTAGCAGAAAGAACTTTGTATCATGATTCTGAGATTTCTACAGAAAGACAAATATTTCTAAAGAAGGTAGTGAGAAGGGTTATTTAAAATATTTTAAATATTATAGACTATATTGTCACAAAGTCAGTAATTAGAATAGTATTGTACTGGCATAAGGTGTTGATCAATGGAGCAGAAATAGAGCCTATTACATCAATATTTAATATGTGATCCAAATGGAGTCACAGTTCAAAATGGAAGACTTGCATTGCCAGTGATTGGGGTCATGAGGACTAGACTTGCCTCCCACCTGAAGAAAATTCTGAAATACTGACTATACATTAAAAAATAAGTTTAAAAAAAAGAAAAATTTTTCAGACAAGCAGAGTAGTTCCTGGAAGAGGAGAACACGCTGTGATTTCCTGCGTTGCCTCTGCTTACTGCCTAGAGAGTTTCCACAAAACCACCCAGGGCTGAATCCTGGACATTTACACCACAGAAACTGGCAAAATACAAATCGAGGAGAATTTTATTCACAGAGAGCTGGTTGTTACGTATTTCCCAGTATGTCCAGTGTTGAGCTGTGATGTTGAACAAGAGGAAAAAAAATGGAGAAGGAAAGAGAGGCTTCATTTAACAGCTCAAGACTTAAACCTAGACTTGTCATCTAAATAGAGAGTGCTCAGAACCCAGGAGGTCTCTCAGGTGAGAGATGACAAGAGCTATACTAAGATTTCTGGAGTTAAGACTAACTGATGCTGAAAATGGAGACCTCCTGAATCCCCCAAGGTCCATTCTTGTCTCTCGTTCCTCTCCCTTGTCTTCTGTCCTTGGAAGCTCTGACTTTAACGATCACACTGAGACAAAGCTCTCCTTCTCAGAAGTGCCCCCATACACAAACACGCTCACGCTTTCTCTCCTTTTCCATTTTTTTTTTTTTTTCGGTCTTTTTGAGACAGGCTCTTCCTGTAGCCCCAGCTGTCCTGGAACTCACTATGTAGACCAGGCTGGCC